AGAGACGCGGTGGTCCTTGAGGTAGAGCTGCCAGGCCGCGGGCAACGACGGGGCACCCATGCCACCGCCACTCCAAGCGATGCCGCGATTCAAATCGAGCGGTTGGCGGCCGCCGCGAGGCCTGTCGGGAACGCCCAGCTCGGGAGCGGCCCTCGCGGCCTTCTGGGAGTGCGTGGGGCATGCTGGGAGTTGTAGTCCTCCCTCTGCGTGGCTCGGTTTCTGTGCCCTAGCGACCTCGGTCCCGCGTTTTCCGCTTCGCACGCTTAGCAGAGTGGCGCGAGCGGAGCTAAGGAGGGCTGCAGTCCTCCTAACGGATTTAAGGAGGCGCCGGTCGAGTACATCTGTATGAAGCCCCTTCAGCCTGCAAACTCTGGTTGTCCTTGTGGGCGCCCCACTCCTGGGGCCCCCTAGTGCCAGCTCCCCCTGCCCCCGAGCCAGCTGAGTTGGAATGTGTGCTGAGACCGAGCATCCTCCAGGGAAAAGATGTTCCAGTGAAACCCAGGGCTCCACCTCCGCCCTGGCTCAGGGAGCTTCGAACTCGGCTCTTACCACGTCTTTTCACTGCGGCTTCTTGGAAGTCTCGAAATGCACCCTTGGAACTGGGTTCCTGCCTTCCCATCAGAAACCCTCTGGAACCAGACATCCCTCCAGGTCCATAGCGGTCCATGCTGCAGCACAGATAGGCCCCTATGGACGGGCCCTCAGGTTGCTAATTCTGTACCTTTATATATAACTAGAGGCTCGGTGCACGAAATTCAAAATTCGTGCAAGGGTAGGGTCCCTAGGCCTGGCTGGTGATCAGGGCTGATTGGGGCCTTCCTTCCCCAGCTGCCAGCTGGGGGCGGGGGCCTTCTTTGTTCTGTGCTGCCCCCTGGTGGTCAGCACACATCATAGTGAGCAGTCGAACTCCCAAGGGGACAAAGTGCATATTAGCCTTTTATTATATGGGATACTGCAGTAAACACTTTGTATGAATATCCCTGTGTTTTGGTACTTTTGCTTCCAGGCGCTAGATTTCTAAAAGTGGATTTTTAAGTCAAATGCGAATTTAAATTTTTAACAAATTCATTGAGCACCACCGGCCAGAGCTAATCAATCATGCTTGAACTGCGAGCTATTCAGAGTGGGGCAGAGAGGTGGTGGGGTGCAGTGGGGGAGAGCTGGCTCCCAGGGGACGGCACACTCCCCTGGGGTGGGCGGGGGGGGAGGCAGCGGAAGCTTGTCCACCTGTGGGTGTCACTGTCCTGTCATGGCCAAGGGGTTATCCCGAGGCTAACATTCCAGGGTTTTCAGGGCAGACCCAAATGTCCGGTGGAGCCCAGGACAGAGTGGGCAGAGTGAAGCAAAAGGCAGACGCGGGGTGGGAATCGCCTGCAAAAGAGCCAGATGGTAATCAGTTTAGCCCTGGGGCCGTCCAGTCTCTGACCCCGCCCAGCTCTGCCTGTGTAGCTCAGACACCACCACAGACAATCCGGAGATGAATGAACGTAGCTGGGTTCCAATAAAACTTTACTTATGGATACGGACATTTGAGTTTTATATCACTTTTACATGTGACGAAAGACTATTCTTTTCTGATTTGTTTTGAAAGGTGTGTGTCCAGGCATGCAGGGTCGGAGCTGTCATTTCTGTCTCCTTTCTCAGCAGGCAGTGGGCTCAGACTTGGCATCACGCAGCGCTGCCCTGGGCTGGCCTATCCCTGCAGCGGCTTGATTCCGACCAGGGCGCAGCCATGGAGACGGGGATCCTGCTCAGAGCAGGGGGAAGACTGGGCTCTTGCCAGGGCAGGTGGACATATGGAGGCGACAGGGCTCCCGGGAAGCGGAGGCCGGTTGGGGGGAGTGGTCCGGCCCTTTGCAGAAGACTCGCAGGTCGGGTGCACGCCGGCTGGCGCTCCGGGCCCATCAGGACTCTTGGAAGATTGTTTTCAAAATAATCTGCAGCGGGAGGAACAGACAAAGCCCTCGCACGGGAGGCGCTCTCGGGAGGACGTGATGAGGGAGAGGGCTGCTGAGTGAGTTCCCCACCTCCCCTCGGAAATGTGCTAATGAGGCTCCCGCCTCAAGCCCACTTACCCCCGGGTGCGACCCAGGGGCCAAGAAAGGCTTTCTGTGTGTAAACCATTGAAAAGAAATCCATAAACATGATTTCAGGATATGTAAAAATTATAAAACGTAACAGGGGGACCACTTTGTAAAGTACATTCTTGTCTAACCACTATGCTGTACACCTGAAAGTAATATAAAGTAATAGTGAATGCAGCTCTGACTGGAAAATAAAATTAAGCCCAGCCGGTGTGGCTCAGTGGTTGAGCGTTGACCTATGAACTAGGAGGTCACGGTTCGATTCTGGTCAGGACACGTGCCTGGGTTGTAGCCTCCATGCCCAGTAGCAGGCATGCAGGAGGCAGCCGATCCATAATTCTCTCTCAATCACTGATGTTTCTCTCTCCCTCTTCCTTCCTCTAGGAAATCAATTAAAAATTAAAAAAAGAAAGAAAAGAAAATTAAGTGAAAGAAGCAAGTGTGGCACTCGATTCCTATTGCCAGGTCTCCCAGCCTCCTGGGCGACAACCAGCTCCCCGCTCCCCTCACACGTAGGGGCTAGGGCAGGGGCAGGGGCAGGGGCCACGACACGCCCCACCTGGGTGAGCGCGGAGTCCTGCTGGGTCAGCTTCCAGACCATCTCAAAGTGATCCACGTCCTGGAGGTCTTCGTAGGAGGCTCGCCACCCCGCTCCGCACAGGGTCTGGTGGGAGAGGCGAGGGGGGCTCTCACCCCGTGCCTGGCACAGAGCAGGTGCTCACCACGCATCTGCCGAATCGGCGCATTGGCGATGGGTGGTCTGGGGCCATTGGGGTGAAGTACAGGGAGGGATAGGAGACCGCATGGCCCCGAACTCCAGCCCACGGCCGGCGGCTGGGGCACCTGGTAAAACTCCCTGGACTGCCTGTGGAACTCGGGGCTGTCATGTTGGCCCACGATCACCAGCACGGGGCAGGCTGGACCCCTGGGCTTCGCGGAGGCCTCCTCCAGGTGCCACTGTGGGCTGTTCCTCAGAGCAGCCTCCCTGTGCGGGGGAGGGGGGTCAGGAGGAGAGGAACCTCACACTCACCTCACACCCTCCCTGCCTCACCCTGCACCCCTCCTGGGCTCCAGCCAGTGGGGAGGGGGGACTCACGGG